TGTTAGCCAGGATGGTCTCGATCTCCTGACCTCGTGATCCGCCCGCCTCGGCCTCCCAAAGTGCTGGGATTACAGGCTTGAGCCACCGCGCCCGGCCTAAGAAAAACAAATCTTAAATGGATATAAGGAGATCTTGCTAAAGTAGCTACAAAACTCATAAGCCAAAAATGATTCCTCTTTTCAAAACAAAAACCTGAGAACAAAAGTATCATAAACAATCTTAAAACACAAGTAACACCCTGGGAGGTGCAATTGGCAACATGTTTATCAGCAATTGAATTTATTTATGTAGTATATTTGTCTTCACAAGTCTACAAGAAGGAGCAAACTAGCAAGAAAAGAGAGGACCAGTAAATAGAGATGTACAAATGACTGATAAACATGCGGGAAAATGTTCAAATTGGCTAGTGATTTAAAATGCAAATTTAAATTGCAATTGAGTGTAATTTACTTTCTTCCATCAAATTGACAAAAATAAAAAAATTAAAAAAACACTCCCATTGAGAAAGCAAGTAAAGGTCCCTTTCAACTTTGGCTAAATAATTCCATTTTGAGGAGGGAATCTAAGATACAGCAATGCTACCATACATTTCACAAAGATGTACATACAGGCAACACAAACATATACCCTACAAGTATTCATTGGATTGTTTATAACAGTGACCATCTGTAAGTAATTCCATGATGAACAACACAGCAGCAATTATACACATTTGAGAGTACTCACAGCAAAATTCAGTGCACCCATACAAAGAACTATTCAGCCTGAGCGAAGACAATGATCCAAGCCACTGGTTCAAACTTTAGCGTACATCAGATTCACTTGGAGGGCTTGCTAAAACATGAATTGCTGGCCCCAATGCAGGGATTTCTAATGTGAAGTGATCTGGAATTTTCATTTTTAATCAATTATCTCCAGAAACCACACATTAAGAACTACCAGGCTAGACCCATACTTGGTGTTTTGGACACATGGTCAAGTGAAAAATTCTAGTCATAGAATAATACTTTTCATTATCTCATTTATTAAAAATTGAAAATGGAACATGAACATAAATAATTATATAAAGGAAATGCATCGAACAAGAACTGAAAGGTGATATGCCGAACTATTACTTCTGGGAAGCAGGGCAGGTCGGAAGGAGAAGAGAAACATTTATGTTAAATATCCTACTGTTTAAGTCATTTACAAGACTATATTTATAATGTATTTAAATTATTGATGTGATAATTTTGAGAAAGGAGAAAGAGGAAGGGAAAGGAGGGGAGGGGAGGGAAGGGCAGGGCAGGGCAGGCAAGGGAAGGGAAGGGAAGGGAAGGGAAGGGATGCAGAGAGGGGAAGAAAGAGGGTAGCTGAATTCTGAAGCTGTAGACATCTAGAGTTTGTACTAGATTATTAGATTTACTGGCAAACTCTTTCTTTCTTTCTTACTTCTTCATGTATCTTTGTAATAAACCCTCATTAAACGAGGTAGTCTGAACATAGTTCTATTCCTTGCAAGCTAAAAAGGCTAATTAACAGAGATGTATAGGCTGTGCAGAGCAATAACACACAAAAAATACTGAAATTGATTTAAATGCATCTAATTTAAAGCAGGATATGGGAATACTAAAACCAGTTTTGAAACCTACTTATTTTCATACCTACATATCCAAATAGAGATCTTAGAGTTGATGCTCCTAAATTACTGAAAAATAATAAAGCCAACATGTTTCTATTACGTGCTGACACAATGCTTATGTACCAAGAAAGTATAGTTGTATTTGTATGTGTGTGTGTGTGTGTATATATATGTATATGTGTATATATACACACACAGAATATATGTGTGTATATATATCCATAATATAAATTTAACTCTCGAAAGGATTCTATGATACAAGATAGTTATTATCATCCCGGAAATATAAAAAAGAAAACTGAGGCAAAGAAAGCTGGGAGATTACGGAACTTTTCCAAGGTCACACTATTAGTCCTGGTGGAGCCAGAGTTACATCCAGACAGTCTGGTTCCAGCATCATGCTCTCAACTATTGCATCGTACTGACCTCTTCTTCACTTGTTTTATTTTCTTTGGATACATCAATACCTTCAGGCCACTACCTATCACTAAACAATACACCATAAAAAATTAAAGAGGCTAGAAAAAATGCTCTCTATAATACTTTTGGAAATAAACAATCTTTATGACTCTTACTGCTAGAAGAATAGGTAGCAGATTAAGAAATCTGCTGATGAGTGAATGAGGAACCTCTCTCTTCCACTGCATTTCCAACTATCATACTCAGATTAGGCAAGCAAGAAAGTCATTCCAGCTTTCTGATATCAGCCAACAAAAATCATCCTCAGGACCAGCTGCCAATAGCATGCCCTTTAGACTTTGGCCAGAATGCCAAGCCCCAGCTGTTCTGTCAGCCTTCCTTATACAGTTTGTTGACAATGAAGAGGCCCAGTTAATTTTTCAACTGGCAATATAAGCTGAAACTGATTCACCTGCAAACACCTTAATTAATTCTAGGAATAAAAAGATACTGATACCAAAACAATACATTTTTCTTAGGCTCAAAACACATTGAAATGTTTCCCAAAAATGGAACTGCTTAGGGAAAAAAAAAAAAAAAAAAAATGAATGAGCTACTTCTTCGTTTCAGAACTTAATCTGGTTTGTCTTGAGGTCAAAGATTGTACTCCTGATTGTGAATGATAAAAAGGGAAAATGTATGCAGAAAATGGGAAATTTCCAATATTAAAGGGACAGGAGGATGGAGAGAGAAGCAGCAGAGCAACACCTGGGGTGTGTTAGAAACAGAGATAAGAAGTTGATTTTTTAAATATAATTTGGAGTTCAGAAGGTGTAAATTTAGTACACTCAGTGAAGGACTAATGGGAGCCTCAGTGAATCTTCTCTTGCCATAAATTGCCTCTCATAAAGCTCTTCACAGCTTCTTTTAAATATGTTTGGACCCTCCTGTTTAGATCCCAACTTTTGACTCTGAAATTTCTATTCCATGTCTAGAAAGCAAAACATATAATCAAATTATAACAACACTGTATTTTCTTTGAGTTAATATTATCTTAAGTCTATCATTGTTTAAATTTTTGGTAACATTATTTTAACTGGACATTGTTTTCTGTATAAATTTTAAAATGAAAATGCTTCACATATCCATTTCCTTGTTTCAAATTTTAACAATTATCAGTCATCAGTCTGTCCTTGTATGTTGTCTTTTGGAATCATTTTTTTTTCTGTCAAGCGTAATTATCCTGGCTCAAATTGTGTTTATCTAAATTTCATTAAGACAATTGTATTCTTTAATCCATTTTCATTTAATAGCAAATGCTATAATTTGAAATTATAGTTATCATGAGTTTTCCTTTTTTAACATTTTTAATAATTATTCTTTCTAGATTACTTTTGTTCTTTTTCATTTTACCAACAGCATGAGTTTTATTAAGCATATTTTACCATTTCGGTTTTAGCCATGGTCTTGTCTATTTAATGCTTCATTCTGTGATGCTTTATATGCGTATTTTTATCATTTCAGAGTCAAAAAAGTAAATAAAAAGATCCTTGAGTTAAGGATCTGTCAGTAAGAGTCAAGAATGGCAGAAGTTAAAAACAGGGTTAAAATGGTGAGTTCATAAAATTTCCACATTACTCTTCACTTTTCCCTCTGTAGCTTTGTTAGCTGGATTTTTTTTTTCCTGTAACACAAATACTTAAAATATGTAACTTTATCTACTAAATGAGACTACTTTTCCTACCATAGTGCTTGTGTTGATTACAAACGTGAATTTTGAGCTAGTAAGGTTATTGACAATAAGAATTATCAATTTTTGAGTAAAATATCCTCAATATTCTGCATCTAAATTAGATTGCTGCATCATATATATATATATATATGAACCTATACATATTATCTTCTATCTCACTATTTTGTTCTTACAAATATTTTGTTTTCTCTCTTTTTTTTTTTTTGTTTTGATTGTTGTTTGAGACAGTGTTTCTCTCTGTTGCCCAGACAGGAGTGTGGTGGTACTGTCATGACAACCTACAGCCTTGATCTCCTGGGCTTAAGTGATCCTTCCACGTCAGCCTCCAGAGTAGCTGAGACTACGGGTGTGCACCACCAGGCCCAGCTAATTTTTAATTTTTTTTTTTTTTTTTTTTTTTTTGTAGAGACAAAAAGCTGGTCACCAGCTTCTGACCTCAAGTGATCCTCTTGCCTCAGCCTCACAAGGTGCTGAGGTTGTAAGCATGAGTCACCACACGTGAGCTTTGCCTTTACATATTGTTGTAATTTTAGTGCCCTTTAAAAGTCTCCGTTTTTATTGCTTCTATAAAATTAGCTTAAGAAAGGTGTAGCTGATGATTCTGAAGGCCTGAGTGCATACAGTATCTGCAACTGTTTGTTTTTCAAGGTTTTCTATGAATAAAATGACTAGGAGTAAGAAAAATACATGTGACCTCATGCTTCACATTCTTCAGAACAAATACCTCTCGGTTGCAATTATGTCATCATGAAATCATGTTCCACGTTTTAAAATAAACTCATTGCCATATGAATTGTTATCCTACTGAGATATTTTTGTAGTTGTCTGTTTAACAGCTTCCTTAGAAGTGTCTTCTACATTTCCCATAATACCAAAACAAAAATTTCTTTTTTCATCTTATACACAAAAATAGCTCAAGTTTGAATGTTCTGAAATCCACACTCTTGTCCTGCATTGCACATATACTTGCACTTGAGTTACAAACACACACCCCCACACACACAGTTTTAGCTAAATATTCTAAAATATACACTTTTTGACTTCCAAGAAAAGTCAGAGAGTGTTTTCTCCAGTGTCACAGTTCGGGACTCACCTGTGGACGTGGATGTCCTGTGACTAGACAAGTCAACTCTAGGGTTTCTCCTTCCCGGATAGTGTAGACCCTTTCAGAGTAGCGCTCCTCTTCAATGTTACAGGCCAAGCCTGAGTGCACAATACGAACCGTAGGAGGAGCTGTCGAGTCAGGAAGAAGAGAGACAAGATACATGAAAAGGTAAGTAAGTGATCTGCTCATGAACCATCTTGACTATAAAAGCAATTCTTATTAGACTTCACCATAGTCAGATTAGTTAGATTAATCAGTCTTAACACCTCCCCAAGGCATTAAAGATTTTACTGGAAGAAATCTTAAAATTTATCTAACAGTGACCAACACATTTCCAGGGGAACAAGGTAGTGGAAGAACATTGGTGCCTCAAGAAATCACCATCAATACAAGACCACATGATAAAACTTGATTGTTAAAATGTGAGAAGTTCCCTTCCTTTCTGAGTTCAATCAAACTTTAATATAATAAGGAATATTGCACCAAAAAATATGTAGTGCAAAAGAAAGAAGACAATTGGAAGAGAAAAGGGAATTTAAATTGAAGACATTGACATTTGTCTATTAATTATTTAAGCCATGTAGCGCACAAGATAAGAAGCTCACGAATAAGATGATTTGGTTTTCAGGAAGTGAAAACCAACTTAATTTACCATACTTATAGACATCTGTATTGATGTAAACAAAGTATGATTCTTGATTAAGCCATGGAAGAAGACAATATACCATTGTTGCCTGAGTCTAAAATTCTGATTCAAAAGAAACTTCATTAGCATAAAGCTGCCCAAATTTCTAAATATAATTTTCTCCTACTTCAGTGCCAAGGGGCCAATAAACTTTAACTAACACTCCTTGACTTACATATCACTGGGAACAACTACATGGAAACTTTCTGTGGGTCATGAGAAGTACTTAGCTAATAAGATATGGTGCTTGCTATCAAGTAAATTATTGACAGCTACTAGCTTCAAATTGGAGATCATCTCCTTTTGTGAACTCAGCATTTTTGTTTGTAATGCATTTTGGAGTGAAAGAGAATGATTATTTCAGTTAAAGGCAAGTGGAAAGGTTATATCTACATATAAATGACAGTGATCTCAAGAATTTCCTGATAGATATTTCGACCTAAACAGTAATATTACTAGCAGAGGTTGTGATTGCTTAAAAATTAATGCCAGTACCAGCATATTAGGAATGTTTTGTCTAACATTAAAGACGATGAATCTTATAGAATTTTAAAATAAATTTGGTGATTCTACGGAAGAAAAAAAGATTATAAGGCCAACTCATGAAAAAATTCATTCTGGGAAAATCTGTGTTCTGAAAGTAAAATAGAATAGTTTTCAATATCTACTATTTTGTTTTATATAATGTAAATGCACAGTCTACCCACAGAGCTTAATAATTGACATCAGGGCATATTTCATTATCTTTCTCAATTTCAGGCAGAAACTTATGATTAATAAAACAACTGGCTATGTCCAGCTCTTTCTAGGTACCAAAACATAATCCTGTTACTCAACCTTGAAACTCAGAACCCTGTTTCCAATATGCATAATCAAAATGACAAGTAAAAGTTTCCAATAATAGGATAAGAACAAAAGAGTACTTCTAGAAAAGTGACCTTGACACTAAATATGCATAATAAACTTCCCTCAAGAACTTGTTAAAAATACAAATTTCAGAGGTGTTCAGAGACCTGATATATCTGCAGGAAACCCCAGGAATCTGCATTTTTACCACTCAGATAGCTACAATGACAGAGCTACATAGACTAGGTTCTGGGTATTATATTTGTTAGCTAAAGAAAAATACTCCAAGGAATAAAATATCCTTTTCCTCTGGCTTTTTAAAGTAACTAAACTTTCTGCTATGCATCATTTCACTGATTTGAAAAATTAAATGATGCTTAAGTCAAATGTCCAGTTTGGTCTATGAAACCAATTTATTAAAAATTTTCCATCATGTCTCTGGACTCTGTCTAGACATTGTAATAATTTGTTTGATTTTATGACATTAGAAATCCTTATCTTTGGTGTTTCTCTTAGTGCTCTGATATGTTTCACACCACATTTTCCACAAATCATTTCAGGCAGTGATCAAATTTGGACTTCAATTTAGATAAGTAATACTAGTGAGGTACTTATATTTAGACATCTGTCTAATATAGTCATATCCATATTATAGAGGTTAACAAACTGATGAAAATCTATAAATGTTTGCAAAACAAAATAAAATAAATTTTCAATAGAAAATACAGATCCATTATCTTAAAATATATTTTCATGCTAAATTTAGCTTCATACGTGATAGCCCACATGTTTATTAATATACCTAATTATATAGTGACATGACATCTTTTCCAGACTAATTTACACTTGTTATTTTTGTTTTAATTTCAAATCAATGCTTAGTATTGTTATTTTTAAGGTATATCTTTCAAAAACATCATTATGCAAATAAGTAGCTTTATTTAAACCACTTAAATTATACAGTAAGCACACTGTGACATTTACAAGGGTTAATTTTCTGCTATTTTCTTCTATATTGTAACACATTCTTGGAAAAGGTAATTGCCTGCATATTGCAGTCATCATGAACCTACCACCTCTCCTGTAGGAGAGTGGAATATTCCACCAAATTTTAAGTGTGGGAGCTGTCTTCCTCTTAGTATTTATTAAAATATGTGCTCAATATTTTAGCTGCTCAGTGATAAGGAGAGTATTTTAGAAGCTTCTCTTAATTATTTTGTTTGCACAAAGCTCACTGGAAAGGACCTTAGATTTCATATAGGTCAGTGCTCTCATTTCCCGATTAGGAAAGAAAAGTCTGAGGACATCAAATGATGTCACAATCCTGTGGCTAGTTGTGGCTCAATGAGACCAGAGCCACTGGCCTACTGTTCTTTTCACTACTTGATGCTCTCTATTTAAACTATGTCTGTCATAGTTAAATTTGTGTTCTAAATAACTCCCAAACTAGACCCAGACCTAGACCAGGCTAGGGGTATAAAAAACGACTGAGAAACTATTAATAAAGCAGTTAGAGCACCATAAACTAGATTAAGAATGTAAGTAGCAGAACTGCTCCAAACTTAACCAAACTTAACAATAGACTGTTGCCCCAGTTCATCATCCTACCCCCAGTACCTGCCAAATCCATGACATCTCACAATGATCAAAGGAGTATTTTGAAATTTCTATTTACATTATGTTGTTTCTCTGCTTAAAAACCTACAATATCTCCCAATGACATTTCATAGAGTGCTAATCGCTGCACATGGGTGCATTTACGCCCTCTGGCAAGGGTCCTCATGCTTACCATCCAACTAGAAGTCGCATTTCTCTGTAATATCAGGCTATCCTCAGGGAGAATGCAAAGAATCCTGAGATTTTAAGAGTCTTTGCTTATAATGTTCTCCCATCTAAGATTCCCACACCAATAATTGGACCCATGTTCCTGATATCTTCTTGGATTACTTATCAATGATTATCTTCTCTTTTATTACAGGAGGTATGTGTTTATTGCTTTGTGATTTTCCTTTCTCTTAACATTCAAACACGATAGTAAGCATCTCAGTGCCAGACTGAGCATCATTTTTGGCATCATCCCCATATCATGTAATTCACAGCACAGAGGAGGTATTTATTAACTAATTGAGTTTTAGTTTCTATTTTAGCAAGTATCACTATAATGACATCAACTTCTTACTTTAGCAAAATATCAACTATTATGGCAGTGCATTTGCTTACTTTAAATATAGATGCAATTTGCAGTTTTATACCTGAAGCAACACATCTCTGATCCTCTGCCTTGTTGTAAAAAACCTCAATTCATCATCCTTAAATTGGACTAAAGGTTATGATCTCCTTTGCCCTGTAGAGTCAGCAATGAATTACAATGTTAAAATATTGCATGAGACTCATATTCATCCAAATTTTCTTGAAGTAAACCAAATCTCATTATGTAAAATCTTTCCTAACACTAATCATATCAACTGTCTTAATCTGAGGATATTTTGGCTTTGGGTTGAAGAGGTCGCCTAAAAGGGCAAAAGAGAGACATTCTTTTATCTTGTTAGAATATACTTTTGAAAGTTAAACCAAATTCACTCTGGAGAAAGAGTACAAATAAATTATTCTACAATGACAACAACCAGGGGCATTTTAATCTTTTCATCTCATATATAGACTTTCAAGCACATATTTATTGAGCAACTGCGATGGTAGGCATGAGACTATGTGCTGGGGATATGATGATTAATGCCATGAGCTGCCCCTGCTAAGGGCTTACAGCCTACTGGGTTTGTCTAAATTATTTAAAATTATATGATAGTTGAACAGGATAGATACTCTAACAGAAGAAAATGAAAAGTACTAAACAAAGACAAAGCAGAGGATAGCTAAATCTGCCTAGGGAAGTCTAACAAGTTTCGCAAAGTCAGTGACATTTAACCTAAGTTTGGAGAGATGCTCTTGGGAGCAAAAGAGGAAGGAGATTTCAGAGACAGAAAACAGTGTGTTCAAAGGCAAATCTGAAATATGCCTTTGTAATATGCCAGTGTCTATTGTGTTTCTGAAATGACCATGTAAAAAATGTGTCCCCTGTAGTTTATCATTTACTTCATACCTTGCCACTGTACAGCCTTATCAGCTTGCCATTATGTCTCAGACACAGGAGAGACACTGGAGAGGCCTGGGAATGGCTATGAGAGGAGAGACACATTTTAGAGGTCTTGCTAGATAGGACATGACAATTAACTGAATCTGAGGGTGAAGGAAGAAGTTTATACCCTGACTACGTGAAAGATGACAATTTTTTTTTTATCTTAATAAGATATCAAATAGGGTTTTTAATAAAATAAATTTTATTATTTATTTAATATTTTTATTTTTATTTTATTTTGATTGCCATGGAACTCACATTACCTACAGTTCGGGGAAGCTTGACATGAGGGGCTCTGAGCCCAATTCATGGGGGGTGGAGGGTTGTTGGCATGAGGGCTTAGATGAGAAACATTTTTGATGAAGAAACTTTTTTCAGTAATGGGGATGGTTCCTGAAAAACGTGCTGCTATCAGACATTTATGGTTTTGGTACTAGGAGCTTTCTCTCCTCTAAGAGCTTCAA